CTCAATGCATTGATTCTTTGTTTTAACAAACTGATGAGTTTGGTTACGTATTTTAATACTACAGAGAGCTAGAATAGAGTTCTCAGTGTTGAAGACGGCTCTGCTATCTCATGTAATCTCATAATCTTGCATAGGAAAGTGCTGGCCAGCTGGAAATGAGTGCATTATCAGTGATGTACAAGTAAGTATCAGAACTTCTTCAAATTCGCTTTGTTTTGTACTTGGTGGTGTTTGGGTTCTGGCCCTGCATTTGTTTGTCACTAAGATACTAATGTGTGGAAGGTGGTGAGAAGTGCTACCCTAACAAAGTTACTTTAACGTGTAAATAGGTGCCATCACAGCCCCTGTTCTCACAGTGTGGATTAAGGGGAGGGTCAGTTTCCAGCAATGTTTATTTGTTATCTTTTTGCTGATGTTAAACTCTGAAGTCAAGTGTTTCCTTCTAGTGGCTGAAGAATGGAAAACGGGGAAAAAACAAGGAGCTGTGTGTAGTGGAAATGCTGTGTGGTAGTTATAAGCATGACTAAAGCTCATGTAGGTGTTCTGGAAAGCTCCAGTAGTGAGGAGTACTTGCCCTACTTGGTGCGTAAACCCTGATATTTATTTCAAAGGTAACACAAACCTGTGCAGGTGCTGCTGTCTTGCTCAAATGCTGCTATCCTGTAACAAGCAGTCTGGCTCTCCAGTGGTAGAAGGAAGAACCCTCCCTTTGCAGGCTCGTCCTGTCTCTGGTACTCAAGGAACAAGCTGAAGTTTTGCAAGTCACTAGTTCCTGTACTGAGGCTCTAATCCTTTTGCAGGGTGACTGAATCACTTAGGCTTAATTGTCTCTGAGCGCCCTGCCGTAAGCATAAGTACTTGACCTAATCTGTGACTAAACATAATGGTCTTTCCCAGATAAATTTTTTTTTTTTCCCCTGCTAAGATGTGTGGGTTTTGCTCATCTAACTATTTCTGTATGGTAGCATTCAGGAAAAGTATTCTACTTGATTTTTCTATAAACCAACAGTGGATTCTCTAAACAGCTCCCTGTAAACTTGTTCATAACATGGTTCTACTACAAGTATGCTCTACTACAAGTGTGCTTTTTCAAGTCTTGTTTTTCCTCCGCTTACCTAGGCGAGACTTTATTCTGTACCGGTACCCTGGAAAGCCAGCCACTTACGCTACAGACAATGGCTTTGAAGACAAGGTAAGGAGAAGTGAGGCAGTTTCCTACCCCTACCCCTGAATCCCAGTTACCTCCAGTCCTGCTTTAGTTGTTAAAACTTGTCACTGGAATTGAGTTGTTGTAACTACAGTGCTTTTGTGTACCTGAACAGAACCCCAAAGCTGACTTTGATAATACATTAACAAAGCTAACAAACTGATACGTTTCTATGACACTCCAGTTGATCCCAGTTAAGAATGGGAGCTAACAGAATGGCTTATCTACACAAGGGTTACTACTGGGTGCAAAAAGAAGGAACATAAAGGAGAAGTACTCAGTATTGCCTCCCATCTGACCCCTCTTGTTTTTTCTGCAGTCATGTAGATGTGCCTTTGCAATTATATGGCTAGCTCAGGCATGATGCCAGAGAAGTTGCTGCGGTATGGATTTTGGTATGAGCTGTTAAATTTGTCAGAGTGCCTAGGCTGCTCTGAAATCTGTGCTGCTGCAGCTGGTGTTCTCTGTTGGTTAGTATCACAGTCTGCTTACATGCGCTTCTTTCTTTTTCTGTGTAGTTTCCTGAGTAGCTTAATGTAATTCCAAAATGAACTAACATTAAAAATCGAGCAGTGTGGTCTAAATGTGTGTTTGTCCTCGAAGGCTTTACCACCAGAGCTCTCATTAAGTGTTGGCAGCTGTCTGTCATTAGACTGCATGTACAGGCAGCAGCAGCGCTTCCTGGTGTTGCTAATTCTCACCATGAGATGGAAGCTTGTGTTGGCAGAAGATGCAGTGAGCACTGAATTAAGAGCCCTGGCATCCCAGCTCTTGCTGGTTCACTGGAGAGCATCCGTGCTGGCAGTGTGCTGACAGCTGCCCAAGGGCTCCTGCCAGTTGCAGTTGGCTGCGGCCACAGGCCGAGATGGGGTTTGATGGTCTATGTTACTTGGTGTAGCAGTGCGTGTGCTGGAGAAGGCATGCATCTGTTCAAAAGGCAGCAGAACGCTGCTTATTAAAAGCAAGGCTTTGTGGAGGACTAGAGGAGTAGATGCTCTTCTAGTCCCTCAAGTAGGGAAGGGTGAAATGTGCCTGTGATACTTGGGCAGTGTATCTCGGGGGTACTGCATTTAATGCCTTGTATTTATTTTACCTCTTGAGCAATTGGTTTCAGAGGTAAGCTGGAAACAGTTTGTTGTTCTCAAGTTCAATACAGCATGATGTACAAATTGATCGTTTTTCTTTGTGTAATACACAAACTTACATAGAGACTTCACCTAGGATTCAGTTTTAAGCTGATTCTACAGCGCTTTTGTATTTGTTTGAGAGTATTGTTTTCTTGATGAGTTGGTGTTGACTGTAGAATGAAAGAATAATGTAGTCTTGAGCTAGGATATCAAATAGGAGGAGGTAAGTTTTACATTATTCCAGCCTTAAAGCCTTTCTTTTTTTTTTTCCTTATTTTCCTAGATTTTACTGTGTTGTTCCGGCAATGGCCATTATGACTCTGTGTATACAAAACAATTCCAGGAAAATGCTTCTGTTTGCCAGGGTAAACTTAAAATAATTTTTCTATGGAAGGGAATTACGTGTTTTCATATGTTTATAGGCAGAATTTGTTTTGGTTTTCAGGGTGGGGAGGAGAGAGATGGAAGCTCACTTAATGTATATTAACATATACATACAGTCATTATTCTATCTGTTAAGTGGGGTATTGGACAAATGACTTCCAGAGGTCCCTTCTTCCCACCTGAATTATTGTATGATCCTCTCTTTAATTGAATGTAATATAACTAGTGCCTTGTAACAGTAGATAATATCTGAAGATATGCTTACCTTGAAAATTGCTGTAGTTCTTATGGATCTGATACTATCTTACTTTGGTTTGAGCTTTGTGTTGATTTGTTCAGCTGTATTATATGAGATCCTGTACAAAGATGTGTTTGGCATGGATGAGGAAGAATTAAGGTCTGCAGTTGAGGTGTTTCGAAGTGGATCCAAGAAGAACAGAAACAGTGTCTCTGTAGGAAGTGAGGATGCAAACTTTGATTGTCTTCATGAAAAAGTATCCAGAAATCCATCAGAAAAGAGGTAGTACTTTGGGAAGGGGATGGGGTAAAAGGGAAGAAAAAAAAATTTTTTTAAAACCTTGCAAAGGCAACTATTCCAAGTTTCTTTGTTCCTGGGGTATTAACTCTTTTTTGTATCTCATGACACAAATGCAAAGCTGAAGTATATTGAGAAAGAGAGTGTGCTTTCCTTGGAGCTGGGAAATGTTGTGTAATTGAACATCCTCTGCTGCTGGCTGGGTTAGAGTTGCCTATTACTCTGTAAAATGACAGCTTATTTGTAAATAAATTTGTTCCTTATGTCATCAAATTTTTTTTTTTTTTTAGGGAGAGCCTTACTACTCTTTTAAGCCTCTGTAGCTCTGCAGAGGCAATAGAGTATTGAGAAAATGAGCTCTGCTTTATTTTCTTGTTTGTCATGTTTTAATGGACTTATACCCCAAACAGACAATTAAGTGATGGCATTAAAGTCTGTTGGATCACTAGGGATGAGGGGGATGGACAGAATGTACCTACAGAAACCCTCATATCCTGTGGTGTTCAAGTTGCTGGAAGGGCTTGAGGGATTCCTCTGACTGTTACTGAATGCTTGCAGGTGGCATTGGTTTGATAGGACTTGGAATGGGGTGTCTTGTACTTGACAGTGCAAGAGTTTCATCAGTCAGTGGGATCAGCTTCCTTCTTTCCTAATGCAAGCAGTTGCCCTCCTTAGGGGTGGGTGTTGGAATAAGTAAAACTCATCTTCTTGAAACTAGGAAGAGGGTTGTCTTGTATTGTATCACAGCCATGGTAGTGTTTAAGGCAAAATGTACCACTTGATGGCACCATGGTGCTTTTTCAGATTGTATGAACAGTTGGTTGATTTTAATCCTGGCTAGAAATTACACGTTGCATCTTTTGTAATCTTATTTTCAATTACTTAGAGTGGACGACTGGGAAGGCAATGATACTGACAATCCACAGGAACATAAGTTCAAACCAGGCATTGAAGAAGAAAAGGTTTGTCAGTTAGGGAAGAATTCCTTATGGTGGGTTTGTTGTTGTTGTGTGATATTACCCTTCTTAGGGCTAAACCTTCTTTTCTAGTTTTTCAAAATGACTTTTTGGAAAGTGGGTGGCTTATTTCTTCCATCTGCTTGTCTTTTGGTTTTGCCCTTGAGTTTCTATTAAATTGGATAAGGCGTTTTCCTTTTCAAGATTCTCTTGTTCTTCTCTAGCTAATATTTTTTTTTTCCCCCCCAAAGATGAAGCTTAGCAGATGTTCCCTGGTCTGTTGTTTCTTCTTCCTAGAAATGGTTTAAATCAGTTAACTTTTGTTTTGAACACAGTGTAAATCAGTTTGGAACAGATTTAGAAATTCCTTAAAAACCTGGGTTTCGGTATAATAACCAAAGTTCCCAGCAGCTCTTGAAGCCGTGGCTTCGTTATTCTGGCTAGCTTCCTTCCATTCTTTTAGAGTAAAGAACATGCCAAATATAACTCTTGAGCCCGTTTCTAACCTTTCCAAAGTCTGTTTGCTTGGCTTTTCAATGTTAAATGTGTTTTCTTGAGCTTTGGTTTTTAGGCAAATATAGTGGAAGTGAAAATTTTGGAAGGTAGTGTGTGTACATCTTAAAGTGGTCCACAGATGCTGGCAGGATAGAGACTATGCTGAACACATTAAATGCACTTGCTAATGCTCTGTTTCAACTCTTGTTTTTAGCCTCCAGAAAATCCATCAAAGATGCCTGTTCCTTATAAAGTGTTAAAGGCACTGGACCCTGAGATCTATCGAAATGTGGAGTTTGATGTTTGGTTGGACAGCAGAAAAGGTATCTTCAAAAAAGGAAACACAAACAAGTCTATTTGTACAAGGGTCAGTGTTAAATTGATTAATCTGAGGCCTGTCACCTGTTTCTTCATAGCTGAAGTGTGAAGGAGGCTGGTTAACCCAGCAGATGCTTGTAGGTCGTACATTTTCTTGCCAGTAGCTGGTTTCTTGGCTTCACTTCAAAGTACAAAATACACTGCTGCTGGTGCTGTATAATGGTAAGGTTGCTAAAAATCTGAGCTCTGCTGTTTGTTGACTGTAGCGCAGGAAATGCAAGAACTCAAAGCAGAGTACAGAACTGTGTTACCATTCTGTCGTATTGGAAGTCATTCAAATTTGGGAGGTTTTTGTTGCAGCACGTGTGCAAGGACTTTGGCTTTTTAAAGCATGATTTTGGCTTCAGAGTTGTATAATAACAAAGATCTCAAATCTAGCATTGAGATCTGTCTAATGAGATGAGTTTTCTCTTGCTTCCCATCTCTCCTGGGCTCGAACCTTCTGGAGAGATTTCACGGTCCTGTGGTTTGGGATAGGTTGCTGCTCTTTGGTGTACACTGTGGCTGATCTGTAAAGCAAGAAGTTACCAAGAAAGCTAAGTTTTGAAGTAGTGTTTGATGTCTGACCCAAAGTGCTTTGCCTACTGAAGAACTTTAGCATTTTACAACTGCATAAGCAATAATGAGGGTCATTAAAATTCTTGGAACGGAGTATAGTAACTAGTTATCTATGTAGAGTACTGATGTGCAGAGAATCCAGACAACGAATGGAGAGAAACCTACTGAAATGTAGCAGCCAGGAGACTCTAGGCATGTTAGTTTTTCCTGGATAACATCAGGTGTTGCAAAGTGCCACCAGTGTTCTGGCAAGACAAGACATGTCCAACATTCTTAATACCAGGATAGGTATTAAACGCAGGATTAACTCAGTATCATCACAAAAGATGTTGTAGTATTGACGTGGTAGTGCTACTTACTGCATTATCTGGATGTTATTGATCTCCTGTAACTTAGCCTGGTTATGGTCTGTTACAATAACATCTACAGTTAACTTTTCACCGTTACTGTGGGGAATGTTTAGATATGCATAGGAAGTATTTAACTTGTTTGGCCTATAATTTGTAGTTGGATGCTGGCATGAAGTACTTGTAGGATTCGTGAAGAACAAACAGTAGTTTAAAGGTTTTCTCCTTTTTATTTATTTATTCATTTATTTTTAGAGCTTCAAAAAATTGACTACATGGTGTTTGCTGGGAGACAGTACTATTTAGGAGACAAGTGCCAGGTTAGTACTCAAAGGAGACTCAGTTATGATAAACTACTAAAACTGCTTTGAATGGAATATGATAAGCCATAAAAACATTTGACTTTATAGAATTTCCCAAAGCTTTTCTCATTCTCTTCCTTGTAGCTATTAATCTGACTTTCTTTTTGATGTTATTTCTTTCTAAAATCTACCTTTAAACTTTGGGTAGTGTGAAGGAAAAGCTGCTTGGAAATCCGTTGCGAACCTGATACATATTCTGTGAGTGTGGAAGTTCCAGAGTAAGAGGTCAAAGTGCACAGGGTGTGCATTTGAGGTAGTTGTCTGTTAGACTTTCGCTGGGGGTCAGCAACGAGTCTGGACAGTTGTCTGCTTCTCAACAGTAATGTAGCAAATATTTTTTATAAAATAGAAAGGGAAGTGCTGAAAAGGGAGGAATAGCATGATCTGGCCAGGAGATGCTGAAAGGAAGGTCAGCTTTCTTTGTATTTCAGTGTTGTATGTAGCGACAGCTTGGGTTTTTTTCCACGTTTGAGGTAGTGTGGATGATTCACTCAGTGACTTGTTTCAAGCTCAGCAGAGCTTTCCTTTCCAATTCCATTTTATCTTCTGTTCTCCTCAAGTTCTTAAATAGCAGTCTTTCTTGGTACTTACCTGCTTGGCACAGTGCATAAAAAAAAACAGTTAGAAAGCTGGTATCATCTTACCTCTCAGTCACTCACAGGACTGATTTTTATTATTTTTTTCCCCCCTTCCTCCCTGAAGTTAGTACAGTATTCTATTTTGCCTGCTAATTTGAAGAATTATTTGAGGCTCCTGAGTCAACTTAGTAACATAGGATCAGCTAGGAGCAGCCTTTGCTCTTAATGGTTTGTAGGCAATATTCTGAATCTCCCGATACATCGGCATTTTTAGAGCTTCCCTTGTTCTTTCTCCAGGTACGGCTGGAGCCTGGAGGTAAGTATTACAATGCTCATATCCAGGAAGTCGGACAGGATGGCAACACGTTGACTGTATTCGTGGAGGAGCTGGCGGAAAAGTAAGCAGTCTGGTGACGACTTGGTGTTTGAACTCTTTGTGGTTTAGTTTGTATGTTTGCAGGTGGTTAAAATAGGATTGTTAAGATACTTGGAAAAGAGAACCTAGGCTTTTAAATACAAAGTGAGGCTTTGCTTCCTTTTTGTCTATCACTCTTCAAATAGGATGTTGCAAGAATTTTTTTCTCTTGGATTTCTAATGACCAAAATCATCATTGTAATGCTTTCTGTGAAATCTCTCTGCTCTTTCTTCTCTGGAATGCGAAAGTGAGCTCTGCAGTTTGGGCTTAATTCACAGATAGCAAATTACCCTCTGCTGTTGGTTTCTCTGGAGTTTTTATGTTGTACCCAAACTAAATAATTGGCACTTCTGGTGAGTCTAATCACTTTCTCCACCTTCCTGTTCAAAGCATTCACCTTTCTTCAAACCTAGAGTTCACCTTGATGACATACTGCAAAAATTCTGTGGTGTCAAATGCTTTCAGGTGTACCTCTGAAGGCATACAAATGCAGGGAAGAACTTGACCCAGGAAGTCAGTAGTGTTGAGACTCAATCCTAGCTTGCCTTCTTTAATAAACAACTAACAATAATGCGTGCTTGGTGTCAGAAACAGGTTATTATTTTTATTTCCACAAGCTCCCTACACTCTTACATTTGTGTGTTTTTTTTCTGGTTTTAGTGTTACTTCAGCTTATGTTGTTGTGCGGTTATGCACATTGTATCCTTGTGGCACTGCTGACATCAGTGTTCTTCCTGTAGGCACACAGTTCCTTTGGCAAACTTAAAACCGGTGACACAAGTGGCACCTGTCCTTGCTTGGAATATGGTTCCCAGTCGGAAAGGAGGAGCCTATCAGAAAATAACAGGTGGATACTTCTCAGGAATAGGTTTGTACAAGGTTTCCTTCCCTTGGGGGGAGGGGGAAGTGGAGGAGACACTCATGACAGCTTTAACAGTAGCAGTCTTTAATTCAGCCTGTGATACAAAACTTGGTCACTGCAGGAGTTTGATGTAAAGTGACCCTTCGGACAGAGAGATGAATTTGCCTTTGCAAAAGAGCAAATATTTTGAAAATACATAGCAAAGTTGGTATTACTCAAAATTACCAAGAAGACATTTGGCACTTCGGAACCATGTACAAAGACTGGGTCTGTGAACCAGAAAGCTTGTCTGATTTGACCTTGGCAGAGATGCATTTAATTCAGAGAATTATTTGTTTTCATAAGTAAATGCAGCCTTCGTAAAGAGATTTTAACAGAGTACTGGTTTGGCCAGCTGAAATTGGGAATGTATTCACATGTGAGATGCTTGTGTTCTGCTCATAATTTAGAACACCCACTTGAGCCTTCAAAATAAGGCTATGAAGTTTGCACGCTTGAAATGCATTTTTCCGGGATAGGCCGTTGGCTCTTTCTTTTCCATATGTCCAAATATTGACTATTACGAAGTGATGGAACATAGCCCTGGAGTCAGCTGTTTAAGGTGTAAATTTCTCTTTTCTGTCCTCAACCAAAACTGCAGAAATAGATGTGAAAACACGGAAGAGAATGCTTAAGAAAGTTCGTGGAAAGGAAGTCTTTATGACTGTGGCGTATAGCAGAGGTCAGCCAGTTCTTCCACCTCGGCTACAGCACGGTATTCCTTCGGGGCGCTCTCCTCCAGTTCACTGCTCACAGGGTGGTGGAAATATGGCATCTTATGAACACTATCATCCTCAGAATCCTCCTCAGAGACATAACCGTGGATTTGGGATGCCAAGGTATGAAGCCTTGAAAAGCTGTCTTGAGGTCACCACTTGTTTTGTATTCATTCTTGCTGCAGACTAGTTGGGAGAGATTTGTGCTATTTAATAGGTAAAACTACAAATGAGTTCCATCTGAGAGGCACTTCCTGGTAATTGCACCTTTTACCCTTTAAACTTAGGGGATCTGCCCGATATATAAACAGGCACAACATGCTTGGCCCTCAAATAGCATTCTACCCCAGTCCAGGAAAGAGATGCTATCAGAGCTATGACAATTTCTCCTGCAGGTCCTGGTAAGTGAATATATAAACCTCTTTACAAAACATTGCTCTAAAAGAGTTGGGGAGGATGGTGGGATGTGGAGGGCTGAGCTGAGCTGACTGTTAGTAGCACAGTGTGAAACAATGGGTTTATTGTCCCTCTCCAAAAAGAATAGCGTTAAAATGGAGCAACAAAACCAAGGTGAAATGCCAAACAGTGGTGGTTCTTAACCTCCCTTCTTGTTTTTAAAGCTCATACAGCCGTAGCCGCCGTCAGATGCAGAGTGTGAATAAGGAATGTCAGTATGGGTTCGTACCAGGGAGTGGAGAGGAGCCTCAAGGACCAGAAGAAACTATAACCTTCTACGAAATTGAAGGAGAGGATGACAGTGCTTTCCCTGCTTTACCAGTAAGTTATGAACAAGGGGGATGTTCAAACCCCTCAGAGAGGTGCGGTGGGGAAGCTGTACAAATGTGCAGCACTTCTTCACCTAAATATACAGCAGCATCTTTTCTTTTTTTTTATTCTTGGAATAAACTTCAGCAGTGAATGTGTTTTGGAGAAGGGAAGGCTGAAATTAGGCTAGATCCTGTAAAATCTGCTTAAAATCTCAGTTTTTTTTTCTAAATGTTCCCCTTCTTTCTCCCTCCCCTCACCAGTAGCACTTGTTTTCTCTTTAGTGTATTTTCATAAAAGTAGGGTTGTGTTTCTCCTTTCTATTGCAGTTTGAAAACAAAGCAACATCCTTCCTGCTGTGGGTGTCTGCTTAGCTCTAAATATTGTGGGAGAGAGCTTTTCACTTGTTTGCCACACTGTAATTTATCGTTTGTGTAGCTGCTTCAGAAACTGTATAGTGATAGCCTGGATTGTTCCTGTGAATAGATGGTTGTGATGTTTCGGGCCAGCCTGATGTTCCTGAAACAGTTTCTTCTGCTGCAGAAACAGAAGGAAATTCCAAATCTAGACTTCTCTTAAAACAGTCTTTGTCGGGTTGTAGATAAAGTGGCACAGTGTATTTTTAAGCTTTAAAATAAATGTTTTTCTTCTATTTGTAGTCTAAGCCTAGTACAAAGCAGGATGTGCTACAAAAGAATCAATTGGTATTTAGGTATCTGAATAGGAAAGCAGATCATCTTTTATAGAAATCTGGTGGGTTTGGATTTCTTTTTACTGTGTTGTAGTGAACTAGACAAATGTTAGACTTGTATTTGAATGAGAGAGGGGGAATCTGCTCAGGGCTGTTTCAACAGCCACCATGTTTAAAATTGGTCCTCACGTGCTAGATCTGTAATCTTTGCTCCGTTTTTTCATCTGAGAGCGTCAAAGAATAAGGGCAGATTATCCTGCAATTTTTTTTCCCAACGTGCAATCTATATAGCTTACTGGCTTTTCCTCCCCATTGCTAGACTGTATACCTGCAGCTCCTGATGAATGGTTTTTCATGTTCATTCAGTGACTTTGTTATTGTTAATGCCAAAGCCTTTTCTCTGTCTCTTCCTTGTCTTGTTTAGTAAAGGAATATAACATTTCCTGGGGAAAGATGCATCTCGCAGAAAACTCTGCCATCCTACTAGAGGCCTGGTGGGAGAATCTTCTGACTTACCACCTCTGCTTCAACCTTGGAAATCTTACAAGCCTCTCTGAGCACTTTATCGATCTCATAGTCACCATGTCTTCTGAGGAGAATTTTGAGTGTCACCTTAGCCATCACAAAAGAGTGAATCAACTTCTTTTACTCGAGCATCTCAACCCTGTATTCCTGCTTCAGACAACTCTGTTTTAATTGTGGTGCAGCTAAGGACAGACTTCAGAGCAAAGACAAAGGGCATGTGAAGTGTTAAAGGAGTCCTGTGGGAAACCTTGATGGGTGTTGCTTTCTGAAAGAGTCAGGCTTGCATGTGTGGGTCAAGTTAGTGCAGACAGTGGCATCTGTGCCAGCAGCCACGCCCGGGTTTCACTAATTGTGACTTGGAGAACGTTTTTCCGTGATAATTAGAGATTTTTGGATGAACCGATCTGCTGTTGGTGTGGTGAGAATGCTCCAGGATAAGGAATGCAGGAGTGTATGTCGGGGTAGCGGTCTTGGCTTTTGTCTGGGGTCTGCTCCGTCCTTTCCAGCTTTGTCTGAGCTTGAGATAAAGCTGGAGAAGTTCTGTGAGGGAGCAACTTGACTGTATGGCATAGGACAGTGCTAGGCAGAACGGAAGGTAAAGGGAAGAAATGGGTCTGCAAGTGTGTTGCTGCAATCAAGGTCCGTGGGAAGAGACACGCAAAGGGTAGTTCTAGTAAGTTTTGGTTGCAGCAAGCTTGGTCTGCCAGTCTTTCTCCTGTGCCTGTGTGTTTAGATCGTGGAAAGGCTTTAAATGACTTCTAAACACACACTTCTGACTTTGCCTTTTAGAACCAGGGCAGCCCTGCTCCCATTGTCCAAGGTCCAGCAGGATTTTGGGTAACAAGGAGAGGCCCAAACTCTGTTCCACCTAACAAGCAGACCCTGAATTCCTCAGAGGAGGAAGAAACAAGTGAAAATGGTGAGTTCTTAAAGGATTAGTGGACAAAAAGACAGGTTTAGATGATCTTCAGTGTGCTTTTGATTGTCAAAATCTGTTCCATACATCTTTTAAATGCCTGTTGTGAGCTTTGAATATGTGTGTGAGTACATTATGTTTCTTCATTCTCTGATAAAATGTGTCACTTCTGTTTAAAATTGCCTCGCCATCACCCTTCTAACTGCACAGGTCTGTAGCAAGCCAAGTTGCTGCTTAAAAATGCATGGTGTAAATGTGGTGATGGCAACCCTGACACTTGGTGGAATAACAAAGTGAGTGTATCCTGAGTGCTCCTCTACCTCTTCTGCACTAAACAAGCTGATACTGAAAGCAGCTCATTAATGGATGCACTGAAATGTAGTTATGGAGCTCCCCCTGTCCCGCCCCACCCCACCCCTGATTCAAAGCTTCATATTCTCTCCCTTGTAGGGGAATTTCATGAAGAATTTATCTATGCACCTCCAGGTAAGTAAAACTAGTCTTTACTGACAGAACACTTGGTGGATGTAACGCACTCATTGTGACATTTTTATAAGTTTCTGAAGGATTAGATTTAATGCTGCTTTCTTCAATCAATTTTGCCTATGCCCTCCAGATCCCGACTGCGAAACTGCAACAGTATTTAGTTCGGCAGAACCTACAGCAAACTTGGTAAGCCTTTGTCGCTGTCTGTTCAGATGAGGAATTTTTGAAGTTTGTGGCATTCTTTGTAGAAACTGTTCTTGGATGTAGGCTCAACGCAGTAGGTCAGAGACTTCTTTTATATATTTGCCGCCCTTTTCCTCCCTAAATGGTGGGGTTTTTGTCTGAGTCTGCACGTACAGTCTGAGTTGTACTAGATACGCTAATGATTTTCCACCTTCCCCTCTGCAAAGAGAAAGTGTATTTGAGTGCTGTTAATGTTTCTTCTTTTTTGGCTCCAGACAGCACTTGGTTTTATCGTACTGCCCTCCAGTTAGTCTTATTCCTCCACTGTGGCGCTGATGAGATGTCAGCTCTGATAAAACTGGCTTTGGAATATTTTTTTAATCTGAAACTAAATCCTTAGTCATCTACTGGTCTACAGTGCATGTGAAAGCCGGTCCTGTGCTTGTCGGAATAAAACTGCTTTTACTTGAGTTACAAAAGATCGTCTCTGTGTATATAGTCCATAAATAAATAAAAAAAATCCAGAGGTGTCGTGTTTATGCTTTGTGACTTCTTTGCCTCTTAAATGGACCATGCTTTGCTTTGGAATCCCTTCAGGAAGAAGTGCCAGTCTCTGTGTCACCTCAAGATGGAGTGGATTCCTACAGCTGTCCCCAGAAGGTAGTACTTAGTACTTTATTGTGGTAGCCCTGTGGGGAGGTGACCACTCTGCTTGGTTAGCGTCAGTTTGTGGGGTTCCTCTCCCTGCCCCTTACAGCATCTTGTAGCAAAGGATACAATTTTGTATAAACACAAGCAAAACAGAAGGGCAAGAAGTTGCCTTGCAGGTGTATGCAACTCTAAACTGGTATTTTTCAAGCCAGTTTTGAGAGAACTGGGATAGTTGGCTGCCTTTCCAGCTAGGACTTCCAAAATGTGTTTATGTAAAGTGAGAATTTCTGGACTCTGTGATGTTTCCATAGTCTTTGTCAAAGCCAGTTGCAGAGGCAATCTGCTGAATGCTCTCCCTCTTTTCCAGGTGTTGGTGAACTCTGCAGCAATCTCAGCCTCCACAGGTGTTTATGCTGCTCCAGCTACAGGCTTCTCAAATTCTGCTGCCTCCACTCCAGCCAGTGTCACAACAGCAGCTCCCCCACAAACAGCAGTTCAGCCAGTCATAATATCTCCTGTTTCTATAGGGAGGCCAGGTATAGTGTGCATACTATGGCTGTGGACTTGGATATCTTAAGTGTTTGCTTACATCTTCCCCTCCCATTTTCCTTCCTGCCTATCCAAGACAAACATTAAAAGACTTCAAAAAAAAAAAAAAAAAAAAAAAAAACAGCCAAACAATATCACTTGCTTTGGCTTAAAATGACTGAATAGTAGTTGTGACTTCACTGACTTCTTGCTTTCACATCTTGAAGGGGGCAGTTGCACCTGAATTTGCATGGGAATTGGAGGTCTCTGCTTTGGGTCCCCCCCTCACCACCTTTAGCCGTTAATGCCAAGTGTTTTGCTAGAAAGTTCTTTTCAGAAGGCAGAAGTTCATGGCAGCTCCTCTCTCCCCATTTCCTACAGTTAGTTTTCCTCTTGATTTGAGATATTGGTCCTGAAGCTTTACTGTCCTTTCCAAGAGAGTCACTGGCTGTGGATGGTTCAGGATCCACACAAATGTCCGATTCATTTTTGTCGCCCTTACTTAGCTCCTGTGCTTCGTTATTGCCACGCCAGGAGATCACATTTGTGATTTGTCACGCGGTGCACTTACCCCCTGAAATGCTTTATCTTTGTCATTCTTGTGAAATGTCTGTTAAGAAAAAAATGGTTTTTCCCTTCTTATAGAGAGGACTTCTCGTGTCTTGTGTAGCTCTTCATTTAGTGTCCAAATAAAACCTCCACCTTCACTTCTGCTCAGTTCTGTCTCCCTTTTCTTCTCCATTTTTCTCCTTGGTTTGTTTTTCCGCCTCCCCCCTGCATGAGAGATTAGTCAGCACAGTTCTCTGTCTACTTGCTGATGCCATTACAAATAACCTGCTGGTGTGTTAGAGGTGTGGGGCACCTAATGAATATTTAACAGTATGTGTCCCAAAAAATTTTGGCCTGGCATGTCTTGAACCTTCCCGTATATTTGTGGGCTTATTGTTGCACTTCTGATGACCTAGTCTGTTCCCTGTTGGTCTAGGACAGACAGTTATGTCAGGAAAGTCTGGCCTGCCTTCTAGTAAGGAGAAATGATTGAAAAAGACATTTATTCTTAACTGGAATATGAAGCTTGCAGATAGATATATGGTGAGGGCTTGTGAGATTGGAACCTTCCCATCTGGTTTTAAAATTTCTTCTGGACTTCTTTTAAAGCGATGACTAAAGAGAACTGTTAAAGCTTGTGTTTAGGGGCACTGAGGTGACAAAGAAGTGCGCACTTAGTTGTGTAACTTAGCATCTTGCTCATGTGACTTGTCTTTGCAAATTTGACTTGACTTTTGTTTCCTTCTGATTGTAGCAGTTTCTTCAGTGCCATTCCCAATTTATTCAGCTCCTCTTCCTCCAGTCAGTGATGTGGGAGAAGCTGGTGCCGCTCTTCCACCTTACTCTTGTGATCCCAGTGGCAGTGATCTGCCTCGAGGTAATGACAGTATTTTGTGCTTTTACTGCTGCTGCTCTTCAGCACACTTCTGACTTGTGTTCTCCATGGAAACTTAACAGAATACCTATAGTGAGAAGAAATGGCTCTTTGCAGCTCGCAGGGAGCGAGAAATAATGTTACGGATGCTTATGCTGAAAATGTTTTAATTCCCAGTTCTGAATAGCAAGTTTGTGTCTGACTCAAATATGTGATAACTGCAGCTTCAGACAGCATCCTAAAGAAATGAAAACCAAGGGAGGGTGCGTGGCCTATATCATACTGGTTCTTGGTGGAGTAATTGTTTTTCTGATAACTGATTATAAATACACAGATTTTTTTTTTTAAAGTCGTGCTGTTGCGCGGTTCAGTGGGATACAGTGTTGTTTTCCTGTAGGACTCCAAGGTGTCATTCAGTGGTAAAGTAAACCAGGGATAAAGTGTAGGGTCATCTTATCGTGTGCTGTCATCCCTTATGACAGTAAGCTGTTGGGCAACGAGGGCGCAAAGACCAACATGGTACCGACCAGCAGAGCAGCTTTCAGCTTTACCAGCTGAATGTGGGCTTCATTTTGAAAGTGGGGATCTTTAGTCAACTTGCTCTTAGAATTTAAGAATATCAGCGTGCTGTGCCAAGTGGCATCAGGCAGCCAAGCTTGGTTAAGCAGTGCAACAGGTGTATACAGATTTGACTCTTTTGTTATTAATTTACCCCCTGGTTCTGTCATGTTTATGGCTCACAAGGCATAAATGGAGCCTGTAATTCAGAGCTTTGTTTAATAACCCAAAGATCAAGCTGTCTGCTGTCCTTATCACAAACGAAGTGCCTCTCAGCTACAGAAATAACAGTACTGTTTGCTGTTATCCTCTGTAACTTGTTTTTCTCTAGATGGGGAATGCTGTGATGTCCAAACACGCCACTTTTGCGTCGCTGCACGCATCTCAAGAGGCAGATAAAACTATTCTGTGTCTTGTTTTAGGTGATAAGGATTGTTGGTTGTGTGTCGTTTTGGACAGGTGTAGAAGATGCTCGTGTCCCCTTGCTCAGTCTTTCAACAGTGCCTTGGCTCAAGCTGCACTAAGGGTTAAAAACTTAGAGGGGCTGTAAAAGAAGACTTGATTATTCAGCTTGCTTGTCCTCTTGACAGCAAGATTCAGCTTGTCCTAATGTGTAGTGCTCGGAGTGGAGCGGGGAGCGCTCTGGATACCAGTTGGAGTTCAGTTATGGCTACCTGTGTTGCCACTGCGTCACGTACAACAGCTTCAGTTGTTTCTGCCGCCTTTGGCAGGGAGCATGGGGGGAAGCTATTTTTGGCAGTAGTGAGGCCAGGCTCGGGGTAAGCTGTAGCCTGCTGTGAAGAGCAGCAGTGCAGAACTGGCTGTTCTGTGTTGTTCAAGTAGCGGGTTTAGCGCTGCACGTTGGTTGAAGGACATGGGCTTTTTCAGTCTCCCCCCCTGTGCTGGGTATGTTGAAAGTCTGTGCATCGTAGCTGGCTTATTCTAACAGCCATCTATTGGTTCAGTAGATGACATGACTTTATCAGGCTTACTACCTTTAGTTCAAGTTCTTGAAGCTCCCATATTCTCTGTTGGTGTAGAGAGTAGCTTTTCATTCAGGGGTGAGGGGGGAAAAAACTGTCTTGAATATATGTAGGTCAGTGAAATTCAAGTGATCCTTTTTGCACTGTTTTGAAAAATATAGTTTTCACTGTAACTGTCTGACTTCTTCCTCCCACCTCCCCCCTGCCAAAAAAACCCTGTCATTGTAACTGACTATTTTGGGTGTATGATAGTTGTAGCTTCTGTTTCATCAGAATGTAAAGCCTTTGGCTTTTACTCCAAAACCTATTACTTGAAGATGGAGCATGAAATATTTTAGTAATGCACATTGCTTTCATGCTTGATTCTATCTGTTGTCCCTGTGTGGGGCTTTCCTCAATGTACTTTAGCGGGCTAGTTTCAGATGAGACAAAGAGCTGTTCTTGCTGTGGGCAGTTCAGGTAGCTACATCTGGTAGGTTGCAGAACAACTTTGGGCTGAAATGCTGTGGATTCTTTCAGTTGTGTTTATCACATAACACGCTTGTCTTATCAGAAGTTGATCTGGAAGAAGCACTATGGCATGGCTGCTCAGAGGCCTGCTGCTTTCACAGGTGCTGCTGTGGTGCTCTGCAGTGACTCTGCTCTGCTGCAGGTGCTCCGAATTCCTGGTGGTGTTAATCTTGAATATTCTCTTTTCCACTCTCCTGCTGCAGTAGTGTCACTGTAGGTGATAGTCTGCACACATCAGAGTTAATGGTTTTCAGCTTTAGTGGAATGCCCTTAACAGAGGCTTTCAGCACTCGGGAGAATTGGGTGTTAAGTGTACTGACAAGAATCTGGAGTGGATGTGGATTAATAACCTCTTCAGCTGCTGCCTGTAGCTCTTCAGATGAGTCACTCCACCTAGTATTGGCCATGTCCTTCTTGGCATAGACTGTAGACATTTTTTTTAAGGATTTCAAGGTTGGTAGCTAATAAAGAATTGCATGTAGCATTTATGTTGTCTCACTGCTTATGGTATATGTGCTTTAAGTTAAGACATCTAGAAGCTTTAGAGCAAAGTATGTTGGTGTACTTGACCTGGAGTTGTGTGCACTCTGCTGAAGATACTTGCAGGCCTGGTATTTGGATTGGGAGTGTGACGTCAACAAAGTCCTGGCCTTGGGAGGAAAAGCTGCTGCGTCCCTATCTATTACTTGGTCCATCTGCATTTGTTCTGATTTTCAGAGTCTCTTGAATCTTTTTTTTTGTTGTTGTTTAATGGAGCTTAGGGCTTGTGAAACATGCTTGTTAATGTCGTGACCTTAGGTGTCCTACCCTTGCCTGCTGCCTATTGTTTGATAAAAGACCGCTTGGCATTGCTGTGTTCGTGAGACCGCAGCAGTGTTCAGGATTGACCAGAGCTTCCCATCAGCACCGTAAAAATTTTCATTGTGATTTTTGTCCTGATGCATTATAAGATGAGATTTTTATCCATAGTCAACACAGCCTTTATGTCTCCATGTCAGGGTGGTTAACGTTTTTTGGCTTAGCTGTTGCTTCATAAGGTAGTCATGTTTTACTGAAGACTGACTTGATTTCTAGACATCTCAAAGAGCAATATAAACAAAAACCGGTCTCCTACTGTACTGGCTTCTGTTCCAGCATTCCACAGACGTCAGTATTTCCAGTATCAGTTTGTCACTTCAGTCTCCCAGCTCTTCCTTTGTACTGTTATCGCTGCTATGAAGCAGCTGTTTCATTCAGCTCTTATGCTTGTTTTGCATAGATTTGCATAAACAATTGAAGAACAAAATCAGATTAAAAAAAAAAACCACAACAACTTGTTCCAAACGTAGATGCAGTTTCAGCTAGATACCAAAAAGTTGGCATTTCTGTGCGCCTTTGTTATTTTTATTTAATATTTTACTGACTCTGGCCAAAGTCGCAGCCAAATCTCCAGCACTTTCAGGAGTAAGCTCCCAGCTGTTGGATGTAAGGAGTGTGCGCTTCCCAAAATAGCTGCATGGATTGTTGCCCTGATCAAATTCACTGAACAGTAAAAGAGCTGAGGATTTTCACCAGCAGCAGCAGAGGAACAAATCCTCGTGCACTTGGGACTGGGGTTTGCATGTCTGACGCCGTGCTTGCCCACAGCAAGCTGCAACACACGGTGCTGTAGAAGAGCAGGGCTGGGCGAGTGTGGGGGTGTGGTAGATGAGTGGACGGGGAAGCAACGTGGAGCCAAGGCCCTGGTCAGGGGAGAAGTGGGAAGGTGGTAAGAAGATGGGGTGTGTGGTAACTCTGGAGGTGTTGTGAAGTTGGAGCCTTTAGTGGCTGCTTCCTTTTTGAGGCGTCTCCCTGCTTTCCCTTTCAGCTCCCAGCAGTACTAAAGCAAAGTCTCTGTGTGTGCATGCACACGCAGACCTGCTGCCGTGGAATAGGTGATTTGCTCTTCCTGAGCCTTTAAATCTGTATTTGAATCTGAAAAATCAGCACTCTCTCATGCACAGTCCCAGCTGCATCATAGGGTTAAAACATGCGCTCTCTTTCCTTTCAGCGGTCAGCTGTAAAGGTTTAAAGCTGCTTCACTCTTTTTGTACAGTTGGAAACGTGTTTCCAAGCTCAGAGTTTTTGGAGAGTGGTTTCAGAGTTCCTCCACACATCTGTGATTGCTTCTCAGTGTACCATGTATTTGCCTGGGGGCAAATTATTCAGTACGTGCAAGACAGAAGTAAAAGACGACTTGTGAGAAAGCAGAGAACTGAGTACCCCTGTGAGGAAGGGAAAGGAAGGAATGTACTCCTTATTCCTCCCCCCATTTTCTGACTTGATAGAACAGTTGGGGGGACCTCCCAAACTAGGTCAGAAGGTCTTGGGATTGCTGCCTGTGTTGTCCTCATTGACGTGTGTCTCTGGTGCGTGCTCAGCAAAGCCCTGCAGATGGAGGTAGTGGCAGAGCCAGACTTAACACTGGGCAGAAGCGGTGTGAAGCTGCCACCTCCGGAGCTGGCTGGCTGTCTTGCGTGCCCGCCCACTGTGGGCATTCGCTGTGTGTGTGCAGAGCGTGTGTGCAACGTGTGTACAACGGGGGTGAGTTGTCGCTGGTGTACGAGGAGGCTGCTCCTGCCTGGCCGCCTGCTTGCAAACCCTCCCTCATTTCTTCAGGGAGGGACTGCTTTTAGTGGTCAACTTAATTTAGGGGCTCATAATGAAATTCTTACTTGATAAAGTACTTCTTCCTGTAAAAACCCAGCCTTAATAGGAAGCCAGAATTGCTTAAGGCCTAGCTGCTTAGGCAGTGGAGACTTGTAAAAACACTGACAATTATCACTTGAGTAATCGAGATGAATAAACCAAAATTAAAATGAATGTAACTGTTGAAGTTAGGTCAGACAGCTGCTTTACTATTGCACAAATATCTGACTGGGTTAACTTGGAAAGACGGACTAGTTTTTACAACTGTTTATGTTCAAGATACGTTCTTTACCCTTGAAACTTTAAAGAAAAAGTAGTGCTAAAATACTCTTCCTCATTAAGTAAGAGTAACTTAAAATAAAATGCTCTTATTGTGTGTAACTTTCTTTTGCTTGTCGGTTTATACTTGTCTGCTCTTTAATGTCGTATCCTTTAATTTCAGATACAAAGGTCTTGCGGTATTATTTTAATCTGGGATTGCAAGTAAGTGCTTTGAAAACGAGGATGTTAAATTGCCTGTAAGAACTGCTGGTTTTCTTGACAAACATTGTACTCGCGTATTTGAGACTTCCAAGTGTGCTAAATGTGCATCCCGTGCACTTGGCTATTAATGCTACAGGCTTGCTTGGTGGAGATTAAAGTATAGCTCAGGAAGTGAAGTTCTACCTCAAAATGTGAAGCGCACTAATACGTATGTTTAGTTTTTATACTTTGGGTGGTGGTGGTGTTTTTTTTGATTTTGCAGGGAGTGGTGGATAAATATTGTTCTTTCTGTGAAGATAAGGGGAAGAACCTGAGCCATACTTCAGAAAATTGATGTACTTAGACAAGACATCAAAGATCACTTAGAGATGTGTGGTTCAAGTCCTCTAGGACTTGTACAGCTGTGCTCAGACTGGTAGCACCATTTCTCTGTGTTCTGGGAACTGTTGCTGTGCTGAAGAGTTGTCTCTGCACCAGCAGTTGTGGGCAGTGTCAGTGCTGCTGCTCAGGGAAGTTGAAGAAGGAATGTCAGCTGCTGCAACTGAAGAAATAGGAAAAGTCTCTTTGAATATGACAGTTGATAGGTGGGAATCTTCTTTCTTGGTAAAGATTTCTGACACAACAGCAGTGTGGAACTGAGCTGGCCGTTGCTGCAGGTATTGCAGTATCTTTCCCGATAGGCCGGATTGGGGTTTTTTGGTGTGTGTGGTATCTTAAGGGGCTAGGAAGGAAAAAAATTTACTTCTTCCTGACTTTAGATGTGAAACTAGTAGTGATTTGGAGGAGGGGTGGAGAGTATGTGGTTGTATGCATGACCTTGTATTTTTTTTTCCTTTTCTCAAAGTATTACCATCAGAACTACTGGCCTTCCATGGTGTATGTACAGCCAGTGCTGCCATCATCACCTGTGGAAGTTTATCCAGCATATGCTGAGCCAGCTCCTGTCCTAGATCAGTCAGTACCTCAGCTCTACACTGATGCTGGGCGAACTGAAGTCCACCAGGTTCCCTTGGAAGCACCTGCAAATGGTTAGTATTTGAGTATAAGACCATAGATGCAACTTATGAGAAGTGAGGGAATAAGTTTTCAGAGCAGGACTGCTCCACAGGAGCTGCTTGCCTGCAGCTTTGCTGTCCTGGAGGAAGTGGGAGGCTAGGAGGGTGCAGAGGAAGCCTTGTAAGGGGGTACAACAAGTTCTTCTGCCATCTGTGGTGCTGCTTAAAGTATGTCAGTCACTGGTACAGCCACCAATGTGTCACGGGCTTTCTAAAGCCACAAACAGAAGTAATCCTTTCTAGGCCTGTACTAGATACGCTAACTTTAATTTGGGAGAACTTTTGCTGAGACTGTGGAGAAATCTCTTTGCTTACTCATAAGCAAATAGTCATGGTATCGAAACAGAACGCCTGTATTTAAAGGAAAGGAGATAGTTGAGTTTTGGCAAGCGCTGAGCATTGGTACTTCAGCTCCATGGGGGTTCTTAAAAGGAAGGTGTTGCAAACCTTGGTTTTTAGGCTCAGCGTGCTGAGCTGTTATCTCTGGAGTAGCCCTGATGGCTGGCTGCATCTCTTACTGTGCGTAACATTCACAGCAAAACTTAGTTTCACCCAGCAGCTCTGTATCAAACTTGCGGGCACGCTTGGCGGTAAATAGGAGGATAGTGCTCCATGAGGAAAAAGATGACGAAAAGATCAGATGCCTGGCTCATGAAAATCTGTGGAAGATGGCAAACTGACGGTGTTGGAAAGGAGTGCACCATGACAAGGCTGTTGCTCGGAGGCATCCAGGCTTACTGCTCTGCTAATGCTTCAGCCCGTTCAGCTAGGGTGGTTCTTTGGCACAGTTGAGTGTTGTACGGTCAGAAATCAAACAGGGAAAGAATATATTGGCTCTCTTACCTGAGTCCCTCTTGAAAAAGCTGCCACTCCAAAGCAGAATGCTGCTAAGCAGTTCTTGAACAGGGTTTAGTGAGAAGATGAGGCAGTTGTCCTCTAGTCTAACTTGGCACCCAAAATGCTTTTGACCCCTCTGTTAGGAGGGACAGACGTGGGCATAAAATGGTCAACTAAATTTTTCCCTTTTGGCCACCAAAACAATGCTGTGTTCGTCGTAATGAAAGCCTGCATAAAAGGGCCGTAGATGCGGTAAAATATGGTGTGTGTATTTTGTTCTGTTTTTTAAGGTAACTTTCAAAATGCAGAGCCTCCACCCCTGTCCTATGGGCCAGTATATTACCCAGTGGTGTCGGACCCCTTCGGCCAGCAGTCTCTTCCTGGGTTTGATTCTTTAGTACCTGCCTATCGCTATGTTAGTACCTGGCATCCAGTAAATCCACCCTACGGAAACTCTCCACAAATTGCTAATGCTGTAAGTGCCGGACCACTGCACCAAGTCAGCTATATTGCCTCACCTAACCCTGCACCTCATGACATGCCTCAAGGAATGTAAATCTGGGAGCTGTAAGCTCACTTCTTGCCCTTGGTTTTTCTTGTTTGTGAACTATTATGTTAATATTGTTTCCTGAATGTTATCCTGTCTTCGTGGGCTGGGTCAGTTGATTAAACTGTGTTCAAATTTCAGGTTTCTTTTTAGGTTTATGCTAGTGGTAGTTGACGAGATGTTGTTGTAGTCGATGATGTAGGAGAGCACAGGAAAATCATATACACACACTGTAGTGCAGGGAACACAAATCTTGAATTTAACTACCTAAAGCATGTGTAAAAACATGCTGTCACTGAAGGAGTTGTTGCATCATGTACCTCTGTGAGGGGTTGCACTGGACACTTAGACACTTGGTTCTTGTTTAAGCACTGAAATAGGCTGCTGTTACAGCTACAGATGAAAGTTGGGCACAGGATCATTAGAGGGTGAAAATGTTTGAAATAAGTTGGCTTTCTCAGGTTTCGCAAAACAAAACTGCTTTGCCACTAGTGGTCACGCATTTGTAATAGCCGCGTTTCTGCTGTCTGTTTTCATTGTGAGCAGGCTTCATGACTCTTGCAAGTGTAAGAACGCTGTTTTGATCTGTTGTATATTGCTGTATGTTTGTAAGATTTGTTTTGTGAAAGCTGTTGCACAAACGGTGGTAGTCTTGGTGTTTAATTTGCACTGACAGCACAAAATAAAAGCATTGAACACATGAAAATGAGTGGTCATTTATCACTGCCAGGTGACGTTCCTGACAATTAGTCATCCAACAGCCTGGACTGAAGAAATGTAGTTGCCTTGTGTGGGATAAGGCTGCTCTGGCCTTTTATGAGAAAGTAGCAAAAGCTTTCAGCATGAGAATGAAGTGCAGTGGAAAGTTCTAGCTGTGTTTTTGTTGATAAATTTAGGAAGAAAACATTGAATAGTCTGTGCACGTGCACTGCAATTATTTCAAACGACTGTCTGCACAGACTCTGTCCTTGATAGAGACTCACACTGTACGTGCAAAGCCAACAAAAGTGGGTGCGAGTTGGGCCCTGCCTGCAGCTGTGGGGGCATCGTGGCGGCGTAGCCCTGTCCTGGGGTAACAAACAAGGGCACGAGCAGGGGGTTATGGCGGCTCGGGGCCGGAGGCCCTGAAAACCGGCAAAGACATTTAACAAATTTTGACTTTCACGTGACTTCAGCATTTGGGTCTCTAAGCTGGATTCTGAAAGCCATGGCTGCCAGATCTGGTAGCGAATGCGAGTCCTCCAAATTTCCTTCGGTATCCCTTTTTAAGTAACCATGGAAGCAAAAACACAGTAGGAAGCAGTGATGCCTTCCAATTTTTTGTCTTAAATTCATGCAGTGCTCTTGGTGGTGATCCTATTTCCTTAAAACTCTTGAGACTTTTTTTTTTATTCTCCCTTTCTTAAGAGAAGATGGCACTATAATCCTCTGTCGGAGGGTTGCAAGCTTGGCTTTTAGTTTGTCTCCTCAAATCTCTAATTGCTTTGCATTTAACTTGGCAATTTAATAATGGCTTTTCAAGATGGAGGAGCCAGGTAAAAAGTCGAAGCATGATGAAAACGACCCCTGAATAACTCCTGGGATTATGAGGCGCTGGGTTTGGAAAAAACCCAACGTGCACACAAAATCACTTTACAAAGAAATTGGTGGCAGTCAGGACTTTGGCCTTTGTATTTCTGCCTCTGGAGGAGCACTGGAGTGGTGCAGATGTTTCAGGAAAGTGAGAAGATACCACAGGGGTTTTTTTCCTCCTTTCTCTGAAAAAGCACTCACTAGACTAACCTCTTACAGGACTCAGCAGAGCATGTGACTGACTTGGTGAACTTATTTTAAAATGGAACAGACTTAAGAAGCACTGTGATGGAGTCGAGTGTGTTCCTACCTCAGTCGCGCGTGCCATCTGCCATATCCCAAAAGGTTGCTGTCAGGCACTGAAGGGAATCTCTTCCACCTCAGGCTTTAGCTGTGAATAATGCCTCCTCTCTTCTGCTGTCACTGAGGCAGCCTCGCTGTTTTCTACACGAAGGGTTATCGCAGCTCAGTGGTGTGTTATCTTCTGGTGTTCGTTTGGCTCCTGAAGTCGACTTTTTTTTCTTTTTCTCAATTAGAAACACCGACTGAGAATTTTGATACGGAGTTTTTTCCGCATGGTTTTGCTCACCCTTCTAATAGCTGGATTATTCAGCATCAGCTATGGCTGTCGTGGCCATACGTGATATACGTGAAAATTACATTAACTGATACAATAACACATGTAATATGTTAACCTATTTATGGATTTGATATACAGAGGCACCTCTGTGACTTGGTGGATATATCTTTGCCAGGGCTGTTAAGGCTCAAAATCAGCTCTTTGGTCTAGCACGTAGGGGCTGTGGGGAGCAGTTAGCAGCGTGTGCGTAGCTCTCCCTAGGTCAGGAAATTCTGCCACCTTATTAGCAGCGAAAGAGCTTAGAACAGTACAGGAATTTAAGTGAATGCTGGAGTCTTTTATTTTCCGTTCTGCTTTCCAGAGTTGGTTTGCACTGCAATAGCTCTACATCACCAAAACGGCTGCCAAAAAAAGCCACAGCTCTACCTAACACGCGGTTGACGTGCTCCGTGCTTCAGCCATTGCATCTAGAGCTTACCAGGCCGGGCTGCGCTGTCCTGTACCTATCGCATTCCTGGCTTTGTGCTCGAGTGTTCCAGTGGCTAATGGCTACCAAACAGTGGCCTTTTCAGAAGCTGGAAGATCGTTCACATCAAAATCACACAGGATTCGGGGGGTTGGTTTGAGAGGGGTTTAATTGTTTACGTGTGTCGTCTGTGGGTGCTAAGATGTGAGCTCAGGGTCCTTTCTTTTTGTGGGCAGCCCGGTGTCAGCCTGGTGATAATCCAGACTTGTTTACGTTGGCTCACCGTTTGATTATTGCTCTGTTACCATTTGGTACCAGGCCAACACGCTGGGATTTTCATGCCCAGCAGAATTGCCATGACCGGGCGTAGCGGGATATAGCTTGCAGCTAGCTATAAGCGTGTTCAGTCTTTAAATAGAAGCACAGAAAAATCCAGGAGTATTGATTTCTATTGGGAACAATTTTTTTCCTTCAGATTGATTATTTTTTTTTCCTTTCTTTATTTGGCTTCTTGAAGTACTTTGCATAATACTGAATTTTTAAGTCAAGGATTTGATCCTGAAATGGTTTTTCTTTTTTTTTTTCTTTTTTTTTTTTGTGGAGGGCTTTTCAGCCTTTGAAAGGGAGAACAGAAGAGCTGCGCAGCCAAGCCCGCAGCAGTCATGCTCACCGCCTCCTTTTCCACACCATGTTTTTGTATATGAAGAGCAGGGGCTCAAATTAAATTAACACCTGAAGGCCGTGCAGGAAGGGCCCATGAGCAGTCAGGCCGCGGGTGCTGCCCTCCCGGTACGTGCCCCTCTCCCCCTCCCTGCGCCCTTCAGCCCCCTCCGCAGCCGCAGCCACGCTGCTCCTGCTTTAGTCCGCGCCGGTTAACGCTCGTTGCCTTACTGCTGTTCGCCAGCAGCGCGAGTCTCTTCCTGAAGTCTCTTGAGTGGTAAAATCCATCTGTTATTGCAGATAATCATTATAAATGCCGTAGAGAAAAACCACGCTGATTCTGCCCGCCAGCGGCATCAGCCTGCTGGGCTGTCGCTCCTGTGCTCTGTTTTCCCCATGGTCACGTAAGAACACCAAACCGATTCCTACGCCAAGTTGTTTCTCTAGCTCTCTTGTTTTGCTTTAGCTTCCAGTTCTCTCTGCAGCGCTGCTGGATACCTTTCCCGTTTATCAGGTTACATCATGAAAGACTGCATTATACGTGGAAGATAGTCAACACAGAAATCCAGGCCCAGGCTTCCAAGTAACTGCTTTTTTCATAAGGGAGGAAGATAAAACCCTTGGACCAGGACTTTAAAGCTCTGAAACAAGATCAGAGTTCAAATTTTGCAGGGCAGGCCTGTATCTAGAAACTCCTGCACACGATCAAGTCACTGCTGCTTACCAGTCATTCGGCTTTCCCGGTCAGCTGAGTTGTGGCAAGCATGAGACCGCTCAGCCGGTCCGAGCTGTAAGCGGGGAGCACGTACGCGGGCAGTTACTGCAGCTCTTGGTCACCTCCGCCGGCGTGGCGATCTGCGGGAACAGGAGCGGGTGCCCGAGTCCCCACAGGGCGCTTTATGTGTTGGGCTCAGTTTACGACAATACTTCTCTTTTGGGTGCTAAATTTTTGCTGCAGCGCGTGAATATTTTGCTACTAGCTTTGGGCTGCTGGGCTTTATCCCGAGGTCAGTGTCACTCTGCTCTCATAGCTGTGACGACTGCTTGGCTTGCTTGTGTTAGAGAAAACGGTCTTTTAAGAGAAAGTGAAATAGCCTCTGATGATGAAATTAATGAACTAACTCCCCCTGCCCTCTCCTTTATGTATTTTTCCTGTTCCCTACCCACCCTGCCTATTTGCATTTTCCAATCAAATCTAAAACAGTCGTTTCTGACTCTTTTTAAACCAGTACTCCGTTAGAATTTGTCACAGTTGAAAGCAAAAAATGTTTGTTTTAAGGGTTGTGGTGATTACGTGAATGTGCGATTTGTATTACTTGTCAGGAAGCGCAAGTAAGAGCAGGTGAAATACACCGCAGAACTTCCCCTGCCTCCCACCTCCCTCTGTGGCTGCATCTGGAATTTTCTGCCGCAGCACATCTGTCTCCCTCTGCAGGGATAGCTGAGGGGAGCGGAGTCATTTGCTAATGTGGTTCAGTCAAGAAGCAGGGCTGGGGATTCAGGGTGCCTTAACTCTGAACTTCTAGGCTTTCTGGTGTGAGCAGGGATGTGCGCATCCAGTTTCGAAATATCCTTTTCTATTAAAAAAAAAAAAGTAGCCTTCTGTCTTTACGTGGCATTTTCAGTTCCGTAGCTGTGGATCACTCTGGGCTTTGCTATAGCGTTCGGCGTGGACTGTGTTCATTGCTGCGCCTGCCCACGTTGTCTCCCTCGGGCAGGAATCTTCTGCGT